ATACTCTAGCAAATAATGTTAGCAATTACAACTAAAACTTGACATTAATTTAAACACAAGCTTGGTACTAAGAAGCTACAGTTAAAATTTATTTCAAAAACTATCCCTATAGCAAGCAGGAAGGCTTGCATACCCATTGTATCAGCTCCACAAGCATAATAAATCGGCAGACAACAGTTCTTTGTAATGCTACAGTAAAACTTTTGATGGAATGAAACATCTGAAAAATACTAGCAAGCTGAAGACTTCTCACAATTTCTTTAATGTTTCTTCTCCACCTCAAAAAAGTATTGAAGTTAGCAGGGTGTTAAATAGGTATTTAGAAAGGCTTCCTTTGCTCACATTTATCACAAAAATGCAAATAATATTCAAAACAAATGTAAAATATTTACAATTCTATAATACTACCAATAGCTTAAAAAGTTATTAAGTATTTAACCGACTACATTTTTCAACAGGAAGCTAAAATTAAGTAAACTTTCTGCATATGTTAACGTAACAGTGAATAGCAGGCTATAATCTTCAAAATTCATTGCCCTCAGATGTGATGGAAATTGCCAAAAAAGTATCCCAGAAAACCTAGTCCCAGGTTGTTTTCTCACTACAGTTGTAAGGGAGATAGATTTATTTTTTTTTATTCCCCTTCCCCCCCCAAAAAATGGAAGGAAATTACTCATTCAAAAGACAACTTAAAATCTGTCAATACAAACAGTTCTCCTTTCATTTAAGAAAACATTGTTTGTATAAGCACTCATAAATCTTTTCACTGTTGTAGTCACCTCTAGTTTGAAATACCGTGAATTTCAGCTGTCTTTCTATGTGCTCTCCTTCCCAACCTCTTAGAGAAAAAGTTAGACTGGACCTCAGTCTTGTTGTTGGCTTACAGTCATACAATTAAGTGGAGACACTGTATGTCGTTTTGAAGCAAATAAGACACTAATTTTGCTTTTAGTTCTAAAAATGACCCTTTTTTTTACTTACTTTTCCTGCAGAAATTCTGCAATAACCTTCTATGAAAATTCTACCTCCTGCCCTTTTAAACAGGAAAAACTCAGAACAACCCCACCTATCCCAAAGACAAAGACTTAACACATAATCTAATCTAAACCTTTCAAAACCAACACCACAACACAGATGTAATGCCCAGCCTGGCTACGATCACAAAAGCCCTGTTATTCCACATTCCCCAATGCTCTGAACATTGCCTGTTTTCTTATCTGACCACTGCCACAAACTGCAGAGCACTCTTGTGAGCCATCATCTTATTTCACGTAAATTACCTGTTTTTGCACTGGTCTTACTGAGCAATCAGAACCAAATCAGTAGTTCAACCCAGACAGCAAGAATTTGGTCTATATTAGCAGTAGCAGCCATGGAAACCTTGCTAAAATCAATCACTGAAATGCCCAGACTACCTTCCTACACAAATCTGAAGATTTTACTTACAGACTTGAAGGTAAGCATTAAATGCATGGCTTTACTGAGGACAACACACTTGCAATTAGTAACAGAAAAATTTTTCCGTTTTTCCCTCCCTGCTTAAATAAAGTACAATTGGTATTGGTACAAAAGCAACATTTGTAGCCAATACAAACGAGAACAGCACTAGAATACTGGAATTATGTCCTTTTGTGATTTAAGAGACACAGATTATGGTACTCTGCCAAGATCCTCCATTGGAGGTAATATAATGGAGATAATATTTAGCTATTAGCAGGATGACAAAAGAGATAAAAAGCATTAACCTTGATAGAGTACCTTTACAGTAATGTTACAATATTACTAATAATATTGAAATTATTGGAATATGATAGTCAACTACTACCAAAAACATTCAGAATCCACAGTATGAGACAGGATTTTGCAGAATGAACATCATCAAAAAGTGAACATTTACAACACTTTTTAGAATTTTTGCAATTATTATATTTTCTCTGTTTAAACTAGTATGAAGATGTTTTACTGTAGCTTCTCATGATAGCATTTACAGCTTATGATGAAACTCTCTAATAAAATTTGCATTGCCCAAATAAAGTTATGTGCACAGAGTAGTTTATAGCTGAGGCAATTGTATGAGAATAAAAAATAAAACTTGACTTACTGGTAAAATCACTGTGTGGACATTTAAACATACCCTGATAATGTCAAGCTACATTAAGATTTCTTACCTGCTCAGTTTCAAAAGATGATGAATACATTGTGCACTGAAAGAGACGAGGTGTCCTCTGATGGCTGTTTCTGCGCACTTTCCAGGCACTTTGTGACATAAAAACACTTTCATCAGTGAGGCACTCGTAGGTTTCTTTTAGCCGCTTGTGTGATTTGAAATGATTCTCCATAAAGTCTCATTCAGTCATGCGACAATAAACACATGTAAAGCCACGATCCACATCGTGACCCTTTTCATGGATTTTATAAGCATCTTTTGACTTCCGTGCTACGTTGCACGCGTGGCAGAAATGCCGAGTTCTTTCAGAACCGTAGCTTTAAGGCACAAGCATCTTTCACAGGATGAGCTAACCCTTTACTGCCACATCTAGCCTTCTTCTGATTTTTGTAATTTTAATACCTTGGTTCAGCTTTAAGGGTTTTTATCTCCGTAGCTAAGGTCCGAGTTCTAACACTAGGAACATGACAGAGGCCAAGATGCACAGACTGGGCTGCTGCTTCATCTTTGCTCTTGGAATACGAAAGAGAAGTCAGCACTGCGGAACAGGGCTCCTCAAGCTGCAAATGAGCTGCTGCTTCTCCAAACAAAGTGTTCCCTTCACAGGAGCGAGAGGCATGAGGATTATTGCTCTGACTCCTTGGGCTTGTGTCACAACAGTGAGGACTCATATTTTGAAGCACCTGATACACAGATAATAAGACAGACATTTTTTCCAAGATTTTCTTTGTTTTCTTTATTTAGCTTCATCTCCCATGCTATATGACTCATTTTCACCTTGGTCCATTTTAGGGAGGCCTGAAATTTGAAACGGTCTATCTGTTTCATGCATGTGAGCCGGGTGTGTCCTGATCTTACTTTTGCTGTTGCTTGTGAACTGACAGAGCTTGCACCTGTATACCTCCACCAGAAACGTTTCCACCAGGCAATTTCCTCAGGGCGATACAGGTTCGTTGATGCAAGGCATTGGTATTTGTATTTAAATTCATTCATCTTCCACAGTTGCCGGTAGGTAAATCTACAAAAGACAATAAACAAATCAGTTAAAATTCACTTTATGATTTCAAATGGCTTATATGAAAACTCTAGGCCACAACGAAATCTAGATTCACGTTCCAGTCATAGGAATGTCTGCAGACCTTAAGGCTATCTGAAAGGAGCGAGGGTTTTGCCAGGAGAAAAACGATGCCATAAATGATGACTCAAATCTCCTGTGGAAATTAAAAATGAACTACAGGTTAATAATATTACGTCATTTTTTTTCGTGTTAGGTTTGTAACAGTTCCCGCTGTGAAGCAGGTGGTATTACTCTTGAAGCAAAGGCGGCTGGTGAGAAACCCGCACGGCTAACACGCGGAAGCCCCCGGGCCGCCCCCCTCTACCAGCGTACCCCAAACACGGCCCGGCGCCCCGCCGCTCCAGGCCCGCCGACCCC